CCCCAAAACCCCAAAACCCCAAAACCCCTAAGATGGGCTTACGTGTTGAAAATACATCAATATCAAAAGGAATATTTATGAAATAAACTAAAAATGGAACATTAGAAAATTCTTAAAATCGGCAAATCCTAAAATTCTCCAGCCTTCAAAAACTAGGATTTAAAAGTAACTTCACAACTCCTTTATCCAACTTAGATTTATTCCTTAAAAGGAAAGTTCACTTGATTAATCCCTTTGATGTGTGGGAGGTCATGAGTATCCAACAGTTCATTTACTTTAGATACCGAGATCTTACAGCAACGAACATTAATGGACTTGAGAGAGTTCTTTAAAGAGGAATTCTTAATGGCCACTATTATCTTCTCGAACTTCTCTGGGTACATGTCCCACTGTTCAGAGCACCATTTTTCACCTCCACAATATCAAAAACTAAGGTACTCAAGCTTGGCCTGAGGGGGAGTAGAGAAATCCAAAGAGTCTGAAGTAGAAATTTTGCTATAACGAATAACCAATCTCTCAGTATTCACACAAGACTGAATTATACAGCTCAGATCGAGGCCATCAATGATCAAGTTTTCCAAGTAAACCTCTTTGGTTACATTGATAAGGAGTCTTTGCAATCCTTCCTGGTAAAACTTGATCTTCAGAGCTTGACTCCCGGTTGACCCAAGAAAGTTATTGTTAAAAGAAAGTAGTCTGAGAGAGGATAGGTTACAGTTCTTCAGGAAGTCATTCAGAGAATGGTCTTTTTTGGAGACATAATCAATCTGAAGCCTGTTCATGTCCCCGAGAAAGCACTTAGATGCTCCAATTGATTTCACTAAGTTCATAGAGTTATCTTCTGACATGTTAAGTTTCAATTCTTTGGATTCAGGGTCGAAGTCTGGGCAGATATTTTTGTAGAGACCTTTGATAATTTCCTTCGTTTCTTCAAGTGCAGACTCGTTTAATTTCAGTTCTGGAGGGGATTATTTATCAAGGCTTACCTTCGATAATTTTAGCCTTCTCTTCTTGATCTTTTGCATATTGGCTCTTGGATTCTTCGATCTGGTCAATTTTAGTCTTAAGATCCTCTTCGAGCTGAGTCTTGAAGGTTTTGAGATCTTTGTTCTTAGCCAGAAGAGATTCTTTTTCAGTAGAAATTTTGTCTCTTTGCTTCTTAATATCTTCGGTATCCTGACATGCTTGCTTTGCAGCTTCTTTCTGCTGCTCAAGCTCGATATCCTTGGCATCATTTAGATCTTTCAGATTCTGAATCTTGTCTTTGAATTCTTCAGTGAGTCTGGCTTTTCATTGCAGATCGATCTGCCTTGATTTGGAAAGTAACTTCTTCTCCATCAGCTCCATATTTTCTTGAACCACAGCATCAATCTTCTTTTTGACCTTGGTGGCAGATGAGAATTCTAAAAGTAAGAAGGAAGAGCTTACCGTCACCGATTTTTGGTAGATTATGCAAGCTTGTATTTCTGGATTCTGACATGTACAAAATTTCTTTGATTACATCGCTGTCGGACATCTGGATTTGGATTCTAAAGATATCAGCAAGTTTAAGCTAAAGCACTCAAAGATATGAAGGTACCAATTTAAGGAGGGGAGGGGAGGAGGAGCTTACTGCTTGATCTGAGACTGAAGAGTGTCAAATTGCTTGTGATTGTCATGAGTAATTGCATCTCTTATTTTTTTCTCGATCTCGACAAGGCTGTCCTGGAAATCTTTCAATTCATCGTCAATGTGAGGGTTATATGCTCTTAGACCATTCTCAGCTACGAGCTTGAACAGCCTCTTCACAAATATCTTGACTTCAATCACATTGGTCTTGATATCAGATAGATCTTGGATTATGACAAGTTGACATTTGAAGTGCATCTTGTTAGTACAGCCTTTTCATGTGTACATCTGGTGGGTTCTACAGAAGTAAACTCCATGTCTTTTGCATGCAGGGTCGCTGCAATGAAACCTATTGTATATTAACACGCATGAGATAGAAGGACTGAATGCTGGATTTGCATCACTTACTTTTGGAGTCTGATATTTTGTAAGTCCATGTTTGGAAACAAAACCTAATAATTAAGATTAACAAATTCAACTGTAATTTATACCTGTGGGGTTTTGGGGTTTTGGGGTTTTGGGG